GTCCTCCAGGACACCAAATGTGTTGGGGTCTGGCCCGGTTTGGTGCATCCAGTCCCAGTCCATACTAGTTCAAAGGGAGACTACAACTGTTTCCTGATTAGAATGCAGCCCCCATTACAGCACATGCGCCCCTTGGTGGGAACCTCCACCCAGCTAGGGTGTCCCCTTAGCTCCCCAACCAGGCCTGTTCCCGGCCATAGATCACACGCATGCCTGTGGTTACTCTGACTCAGCTTGACTCAGCCCCTCACCTGTCCCGGCCTCTGCCTTAGACACTGTGGCTTAGCGTCCCTCACTTTCACAGACCAGTAGGTGCAAGAGCCTAGTTCGGCATAACTTGTGTTCCATGCTGGTTTCTAGTTTCACTTTTAGGCTAAGGTTTGCTCAGTCCTGCCCATTACATCCCATTCCATTACCAGTTTACACATTAGGCCAGTGCCCAGCACAGTCTGGCCTTCCATTTGGTCTTGTATGAGCTGGTGAATGTTGCAGCCCAGCCCACCCCACACCCTATTTAGGATGCTCATTCGGGTGCTGCTGCCTTGACCAGTCCAGACAGTTGCGGGTTCCTTTACCTGTGATTGATGGCAGACTCCTTGCTCATACCTAGCTTAGTCCATCACCACCCTAACTCTTGTGCTAACCAGTGGGGCTAGAATTTCCACAGGGTATGGCCCACACTTCGTCCACAGAATCTACCCCTGGATGTGGTTCTGGAGTGCTAGTTAATGTCATTGCCCTGTCTAATGTGACCCCTTCTCCTGATCCATCATCATGTCAGGTAATAGGATATCCTGCTGGACAAGCTCCGACCCTTAGCTTTTGCATGAACTGGTGTTTGGTGCTCAGCATTGTTAAGTGATTACAAGTTCTTCAAAGGAAGAGTTACTGTCATTGGGAATCTTTAGGATTGACTCATATCCCAGAAGCACAGGGGGATCAACCTGGAGCTACCTAAGCAGCAATTCAAAGAACCAAAACCCCACAGCTCCCCAACTGGGCAGCCAGCAGGCGAAGCCTGGCGCCAAATGGCATGCTGGCTGCCCAGGGACAGCTTACCACGTGCATGTGGTGGCTGGAGTAGGGATCAAGATGCCCTGTCCTGAGGCCCACCAGCAGCCAGGAGGTTGCTGGAGGTTTAAACCTGAGGCCCAAAATCGTGCCCCTCCCCAACCCCTTTCACTGCCCATTGAGGGCAGTGGGTGGGCTCAGGACCTACCCAGTCATAGAGACTTGTCCCCTCAGTGTACTCACCCTGAAGGGAGCAGCCCCTTAGCCCAGGCAGGCCCGGGGACAGCTCACCATATAAGCTGGTTGGATCCAAGCAAGTAGCTGCTTTAAATGCTGCACCTAACACCTGGCCTACGCCTCATAAAATGAGGCTGACTTGGGCTCAGAGTGTTGTTGCAGCCAGTGAAGCTAATATGTGCTATGGCACAATCCCTGTGAGCTCCATTTCCAATCTGGCTTCTTGCTAGTATTCTGGGGAAAGCAATGGAAGATGGCCCAAGTGATTGGGCCCTTTTCCCTTACATGGGGGAGCAGCATGAAGCTCCTGGATTTGGCTTGTTCCAGTTCCAGTTATCTAAGGATTGCATATATTTTCTCTTAGCCCCTTTCTCTCAAAATGTGTATGTGTGTGTGTGTGTTTGTGTCCCCTCCTCTCTGTTTTTTTTTTAAGATTTTAATTTTATTTTTATTGCAATATCAAATACACAGAAACACAGAGAAGAGGAGAGACAGAGAAGAAGATCTTCATCTACTGATTCACTCCCCAATCGCCCGCAATGGCCAGAGATAAGCCAATCCAAACCCAGGAGCCCAGAGCCTCTTCTGGGTCTGCCATGTGGGTGCAAAATCCCAAGGCTTTGGGCTATCCTGCTTTTACAGGATGCATGCAGGCAGCTGGATGGGAAGCAGGGCTTTTGGGATTAGAACCAGCACCCATATGGGATCCCTGGCGTTTTCATGGCAAGAACTTTGGCCACTAAACCATGGCACTGGGCCCCCTCATTGTTTTTTAAAATATAATATAAATAAATCCTTTAAAAATAAGGTAAGCCATTCTTGGCCTAGTTTTATTTGAGTAACAGGCAGTGGTGTGATTGGAAAACTGGTATAACATAGTTTGTTTTCTGTAAAGAGATTTTTTAAAAGATTCTCCATTGTCATCTACATAATTTCCATTCAGGTTATGTTTTACAGTGATCAATGAAAAATACTTCATGAGACAATACCATTACTCCGCATTTATCACCTTGGTAGTGGGATGATTTCTACATATTTAGATCTTTAATATTTATGGATTTCATTGAATGCAAAATATCAACTCATATTCTGGTTTTGCATTTACAAAGAAATATTAGAATAGCAACAGTTTTTAAGGAAGTAAGTTTGCTTGGATTACTAAAAATCACTTTTCATGATAATAAAACACCAATTACTGGTTAGTTTTGACAGTAATGTAAACATTAGTAAAGGTTATTTTTGCATAGGAAAAGTCCTTTTGTTCCATGTCCTGGCTTTTCACTTTTACTGAGAATCCAGGCAGTAGATTATCTGAGAGTATTAGGAAGGAGAGGGAGTTTGAGGCTATAGCTCAGGAAACCTGTGAGTCTCAGAATCTCTCCCGAACATCTTGTGTGTGATCCTCATGAATAGCACATGCTGTGGACTTTGGGAAGAAAAGAGATGAGTGTATTCTAAGCAATGACCTGCCGTTATGGTGTTTTATGTCTGCTTTTAGATATAGAATACAATAAAAGACAAAGTTCCATTTTATTGATTTTCATTCATTAATATTGGGGGTTCTACAGATTGGAATGAACAGCTTATTTCAGTTTAATAGTTTTTTGTTTTGTTTTGTTTTTGTCTTAATGGGGAGTGAGTCTGCGATTTGCTCTTATGAGATGGGGAACAGCTGCTCGCTTCTGAGAAGTAAGCACAGCCCACAACCAAATCTGATAAGAAGTCAGGGAATAAGTGGCTTACTTGCACCCAAAATGTTCTGCAGCAGATACGACCAGCATGCAGGCAACATGTGTGCATTGGGCATAAAATGGTTCCATTGTGAAATTGAAAGAATAGTTTCATTAATATTGCTAAACAGTGAAAGACAAACAAGAATGAGGAGCTTTTGACTTTGAGTAGAAATCTGAGAAAACAGGTGATTAAATTAAACACAAGCAGAAGAAATGATCAAAAGAACCACTAAAGAGCAGTCACATTTAAATCTAGCTGTTTCCTTCCTTCCGGTGTCTTGTTGACATCATTGAAAGCTTCATCAGTATTTCTTAAAGATATAGATTCTGTGGGGTGGTGATAAGTCATCACAGAGTTGTGTTCCAAAAGGAGAAGCCATTAGCAGAATGCCAGAAGGTGGGAACTCTTGCTGTTCTAGCCTAAGGTGCACAGAAGCCACTTAAAGATTCTTGAACAGATCTGTGAGTGAAAATTTCAAAACACATTTTTGTGATAGAAGAAGACATCTAGAGGAACTAAAAGTTGTGGTAGTTAAATACATTCTAGGTACTATTTCTTGTATACATGCTTTTCTAAGCTCTAATGCCTTTCTTAAAGACATGGTTTAAATAAGGGGTGTGTGTGGGGGGAGCGGTATTTTTGAAGCCAAACAGGAGTGAGAGGTTCCTAGAGTTTGACAACAAAAGAGGGGAAGTGAAATAATTTTGTCTAGTTTAAACTCATGGGGCTAAAATACAAATAGATCTGTTTTATTGCAAAGAAGCTGCTTTTTAATTTTTTTTTTACGTCTGAGCCCAGCTTCTATAAATGAGATGATCTGAAAGCGATTGAAAGGTGATAATTGCATCTGTATTTTCCTTTACTTTCAAGATTCAGACTAAAGCCATATTACCTTTGTCACAGTGGATGAAGCCCTGCAAATGAAGGCAGTGCCACAACTTGGCTTAAATGTTCCCCACCGCACCTCTTTCCTGCAGTGGGTACAGCAGTGGGGGGACAGGTGTTTGCAGCCCAGCACACCCTCACCTAGAAATCCAGGCCCTAAAGATCCCTCTGAGCTCCTCCATCCATAGTTGCAGTCTGTCCTAGGTACCACTGGGGCCAGACTTGTTCTGCCTCCGATGAGGGCATTCAGCATCGCATTTAGCAGCTCATCTTCCAGCCATGAAATTGAGTGAAGAGAAAAGATGTTAGGTTTGCTAAAATTGAGGGTTTTTCTGGATTCTCTTGAAAATTGGAGGAATGATATGTGAGAGGAGAAAATACTCAAGTAATTATGGTATAGTGGAGAGAGCTTGTAACCTGAGCTTAGTTGCTCAAGGGAAAGTTCTTAACTTTGGTGGCAGCAGCAACTATTAACCCATCTTTAACTCTTTAATTCCACTTGCTTGAACTCTAGCTTGGCTTTAATTCCAGTGCCTTTTTTCCTTTTCCTTTTTTTTTTTTTTTAACAAAACAGATCAAACCAAACCAAACTAAAACAAAACAAATTGTCAGCTTCCTCTCCTGCTTTGAGTTCTGCCCCAGACTTGTGTAGGACTGCAGGAAGTCAATTTCAGTGAACGTATAGGTAAGATTCACATGTGCATGCCAACATTTAACTGATCACTTCAGCGTTAGTGAAGAACCCGGCGTCCCTGGCAAGGCTAAAATAAACTTACTGTGTCCACACACATATATGAAACACCAGAGTTTAATGACTAATCCAAGGGACTCATTTAGAGCAGAGTCATGACACTAGAGAGTCAGGATCCTCGGAGCAGTCAAGCCTTGAATGAGAGCAAATGTGGTCAGTGGAAACGAACTCTCGGTTCAGCAACGTGGCACGTGACTTCCTATTTCTGTAAGGTACTTCCAAAGGACTTCCTCTTAAAACCAGCCAGAGTCCCAGGAGATTTCCTCCAGTGCGGGAACTCAACTCTACTTTCAATCCCCGGACGAAAGTTTTCCTGGAGATACGGTGTTAGCTTTTTTTTTTTTTTTCTCTTCTTTCTTTCTCTTTTCTCTGCGGTTGCCAGCATGCAAGGATCTCGTGGCTCCTGTCCGTGATCGGAAACTGAATACAGTGGTGCAGATCTCAGTAATACACCCTGCTCAGCAGAGTCTGACAAGATACGCCAGCACTGAAGTTGTGGAGGTGAGCTTGACAGAGCAGCGCGGGCATTATTCTCCTCTCTCTGCCTCTCCTTGGTCTCTCCCTCCCCGCCCCTCAGCAAACAGCTGAACTGAGCTAGACAATGGTCCGTACCGTGCTATGTTACAGGCGCCTGTCATTAGGAACACACAGCTCATGTTATCAGGCATACATTGGTAACTTGCCAGAATGAACAAATGGGGGAGGAACTTGCCATCTTCATCAAAAGGCTTTAGGTTTCTTCCATACTAAGAGAAAATTTTCCACTTTTCAGATTCCTAAATTGAGAACAAAGTAGAGAAAGTTAAGGAGAAAACAAAACTCCACTCACAATAACACTTTAAAATCAAAGAATATCCTCTTTGTGGGAAAGGGGAGTTGTATCGTGCCCTTGAGAGTTTTAACACATTCAGGGTTTTTGCCCTTTCCATTTTTCCCCTGTCTGCTTCACCCCCGGTGGGAACTTTCCATTCTCTGCTGTTACTGTGTTTTCAAAGAAAGGTGGGTGACTAACCTGTAGTGCTTCAAGGCTAAAGGTGTAACTCTTACTCATCAGATGAGAGATTTCCTATTTACATTTATTGTTACTAATACACATTTAAAATGTGTCAGGAGGAAGCTCCTTATTGTTTTGGATCCCATTCAAAAGAGGAAGCGTTTCCTTTCTGATGGTTGTGCTCCACACATTTCACAAGCCTGCTGAGTGAGAGGTGCTTACTGAACATGTGAGGCCGGGAAAGTATACTTTAAACTCCTTACGGTTTGCTTGTTTTTCTTAGACTTGTGAGCCACCCCTGTTTGCAATAAGGAGTTTCTTTGTGAGCACCTAAGGCGGCCTCCAGACCTGGCTGGGTTAGAACTGACTGCTGCTTTGATGCGGTTGGTGGAATAACTGATTTCAGCCTGGGCCTGAGTCATGTCTATTATGGGAATGACCCAGATACTGCCTGTAGCCTGGAATCTGCTCATTGGAAACTGGGTTTCATTGCTGCTTTATGAAGAGTTAGAGTGCCACTGTAGTTAAATTTAATGTAGTCTGATTCTTGTAAAGACACTTTGGCTAAAATCATAGAAGCGTTAAGTTGACATGAAAAGCTTTTCCAAGTAGTCTAAATTAACTGAAAAATTTAAAACTGTTGTCAGAATTTTAAGTGTCAATTGATTGACTTTTGTTTGCATCCATTTATTAAAACTGTGATTAAAATACTTATATATAAGATTTACTATCTTAATTATAGGAAATCAGCACATTTCAAAGTTTTATAGAGCACATATTGTAAATTTTGTCTGTTTTAAAAATATTGAATAAAAGAATGGACCAATGAATAAAAGTTCAGGCTGTGAGAAACCTGCCTAGGCAACAGATTAGTAGAACTCTAATAAACATCCTTGTGTTTGAGTGGGTACTCTGGCCCCCACCCCCACACATACAAGATTTAATGTTGACTGTCAGCTGTTTAAAAATGAATTGCGAGTCGCTGTGAGACGTGTCCTGTTCCCTGAATCCTGAGCTAGTGGATTCATAGTTCCAAATCCATCATATTTAGAGTTTCTTCCATTAGTTTGCAAGTAAGTTTGGGTGAAAAATTATAGATGAGCATCTAAAACCAAGTGGTTATTACCAGTGTAGCTTAGCATGAATTCTTACGTAAAGGAAATAAAGTAGATAGTATAAGGTTATCATATGGCTCTGCATGAGAAAATAACTTCATTTTAATTAGATTAATCCACCTCAGATTATCTACATAAATTACAAATATATGTATTAAATGTATTATAAATACTGACAACTTTTGCTTATAATGAAAATAAAGTGTTTCTCAAGAGTTACTATCAACAGCCCTGAGGATGGTGCAGGTCCTACCAGATCAATTGGCTATCAACTATTATATCAGTGCTTTTGGGGCCTAGGCCTTGTAGTTCTTTAGTGACATTTGGGAGTTCAGATCTCTCTTGGTGTAGAATCATTTCCTAGAAAAACACACTCAGGCACACTTTCTGCCTTCTCAGGTGTCACTGCATGCTGCCAACTGCAGTTGTTGCCTTACTGAATCAAAGCTGCCTACTTGTGTACTTACAGGGAACAAGGGACCCGCTGTTTCTGACGGGTGTCACATTCCCATCTGAGTATCCCATCTATGAGGAGACCAAAATCAAGCTAACGGTCTATGATGTCAAGGATAAGTCTCATGACACCGTGAGTATTTGTCTTTGTCTGGCTTTGGGAAAGGGAAGAATTCATGCTTTTCACAACTTGGATTTTTATGTAACCGACATTTTTCAAAGAGGATATGTGTTCATTGTTTATGCTTGTTTTATAATTATAGTTTGCTGAACATGTTTTTTTCTTTTTTCAAACTAATTTGATTTTGAGCCAAATTGACACTGGATCGGGAGTAAGTAATTTCAGAACAGATTTTCTCTTTATCTGAATGGCTAACTTGATCTTAGTGTTTACATTTAGAGTTGATGTTGTTTTGATTTGAAGGGGCAATTTTGTGGGCAGAAAACAAAAGGAAGAGATTAAATAGTGTTAAAAACAAAGCTTCCTGAATATTGTAATCAGTCTAAAATAGGTGATTAACCCAAGGCTCTATTCTTACCATTTTTCATTGTATATGGAAAAGATTTCCCTAATACATATATTTTATGGGCACTGAAGCCGGAAGAGAAGGCCATTGGGAGGAAGGAGGCATCCACAATCTGAGCTGGTCTCCTTACAAGAAAACTAGGTAAAACCTCAGGGATCTTTTCTGGTAAATGCTTCAGTCTTCCAACCTGGTTTGAATTTCTTCCAGCAGGATCATTCCTCCTGATTTGACAGTTCAAAGAAGGGTTATCTCGAGAGGTCACTTGTACAGTTCCTGAACAGTAGAGAAGGTGCTCCTGGGAAAGGCCTGCCAGGGCCAGCAGCTCTTTCATTGAAGTCTGCCCTATGCACGTGAATTAATTCATATTTTCAAGGCACCATTACTATTGGAAACTTGCTTGTTAACAGTGAAGCCTATGATATGCAGTGCTTTGATGGCAGGTAGGCCAGTAGGTTCTCGAAAAGTTGTAAGGCACACTGCTGGTTTGCAGCAACATGCTGTGCCTGCTACAGGGGAAATGTAGTTTTAGACCCTGCCCTTATTTGGGCATTTCTGCTTTGCTCAGGATGACAGTTTCTCTTTCCTCTACTTTTTTTTTTTTTAAAGTGCTGAATGTGTAAGACAGGTGGAAGTAACTTACGTTCAGTGAAGTATTTAGTAAAATAAAACATGCTGTGAGCATACTTCCAAAGTTCCACAGAAAATAGGATTATGAGTTTATTTGCATGCAAAGGTTTTAAAAGTATCTGTTTTTTTTTTCATATGAAATTTCTATGCCCTTTCTGAAGACCCCTGTTGCAGCAAAGGGATCTCCTTCCAGCCACTGAAATGCACAATCACACCCATGCAATAGAAGAGTAGTACCTGCAGTCCAGTTAGGAAGGCAGACCCTACGGCTAAACTGGTTCATGCTTGCTGCTCACTAACTTTGTGATAGTTGATTGTCCACGCCTCTGTTTCCTCACAAATTTAGTGACACTGTGTACAGATTAAGTGTTTAGAAGTCTGTTACTGAATGAGCAAGTCTAGGCAGCTCCCATTATACTGTTATTATTTTGGCTGTTATCTTACGATGACTACCAAAGAGGGTAATATTAACCGAGGCTTTTTTCATCACCAGCTAACTTGTGTTTTCCTGAGCAGTCCCACATTTGTTTTGACTTCATTGAAAAAGAGGCAACATGCCATTTTAAAGCTGGCAAATGCTTAGGAGTGTTGCCATTGTTTTTCAGTTTTCCTTGACTTTTGAGTTAACTGTAGAAAAGGAATAGAATGTGACAGGGACATCCAACCTGTGTTTGAACAATGGATTAAAGACAAGGTCCCCTTCTTTCAGAGAAGACAGGAGGAAGGAAAAGGAACAAACCCAGATTTGGAGCAGTGGTTCAAATAGATGTGGTGTGAAAGGTGACAAGCTGTGCTGAGAAAACACAGCAGAGAAATGACCAGGTTGAAAGGAAAATCAGAACAAGTGATGATGGGATTTTATGTTCTGCAACACAATTGTTAAATCCAGTCTTCCAACAATCCACTACATAGGACGGAGTGTTGAAAGGGCAGCGTGCAGGGATACCATGGTAGACACGTGAAAATGTGGTTCTATATTTTGGGTCTGTGAAATGTTTAGAAAAATCAAAATTAGAAATATTAAATAGTTAAGTATCTCTCTGTCCTTCAGCTATTTTCATTTAAAATGTAGACATGAATCAATGCTCTAGAGATGAACTATCAGCTTACTCACGAATTATACTCTTTTGTTGACTTTGCTTCTGGAAACCAATTCTTTGAAGTCTTCTAAAGATTTTGTTCCTGCATCAGAAGTGTGATCCTATGAAAATATTAAATGATCTTGAATGTAAGCTGTGAAATAACGCTTGTGAAATTTGAGCATACTTAAGAAATGCAACCAGCTTTCATTTACCAAGTGCCGTTAATTAATTCATGACATTTTCCTTAAAAATAACTAACAATTAGCTCTGGTGATAGAAGTGTAAATAGAAATACAGCTCATTAATGTGCTACTGGTACCCTTGGACATCTAGACATATTCTGACCCCCTTGAAATTTTCTCTGGGGTGGCTGAGCAGAGATTACAAATATCTTAAACTGAATTTAGAATTATGCAAACTTAAACATTTTATGATCATATGTAGTAATTATGAATATTTATGTATTGGAAGATTAATAATTGCTGTGCATGTAGTTAAAAGTACTTTAAGTATTTTGGTCTCAGAAAATTATTGGCCACTTCCAATTGAACACAGTCAGATCTTATGACTGGTTGATTACTAATTAGTTGAGTCAGGTGACTAACTTGTTTGTGTATTCTTGTTAGGTTTATCAATATGTGGAATTACTAGGCAAATAAATGTGTTCCTTTCTCATTTCATATGCATTTAAACACTTATTAGCAAAACTGGATTTTAGAGATGAAATGACCTTTCCTCATGCCTTTCATGAATCTATCTGTGTATTCTTCTAAACAGCTGAGCCTAAGATTGATTATCTTAGTAACTTCAGTAGAAGTGCAGTTAATCATCACAGTAACGAAGAAAAGTCTAGCCGTTGTTTTAGAATGACTATTGTTTCCTCCTCCTCCATCCTTCATCATACTCCTTCCCATTGCAGCGACTCTCCTCTGTGGCAGACAGATAGATAACGCTTGACATGTGGAAGTGGGATGGGGGAAAAGGATGGATAATGCCGTTATTAGGAGTAAAATTACATTTTACTCATTTTTTCCAAGATGAAATCCTTTTCTCAAAACAGGCTGCGCTGACATCCAGCTGTTTGTTGGGGACTTTAACGTCCTCAAATCAAAGCCCACTGCCAGGATATGAAAGCTCAAGTTCTAACATCAAGGTCAATGTCTTGTGGACGAATACTGGTTAAATGTTCCACTTTAGAATGACAAGAAACTGAAATGGAGACACATGCATTTTTAGAACGTGATTTACAGTATTCAGCCCTGGGAGATTCAAACTGGGAAACTGGAGAGTCTGGATGACTCACAGCCAAGAGAGGAAGACAAGCAACATCCACATCCTGCCTTATCTCCCCTTTCCTTGAACAGCTGACACATGTGCAGACACCTGATTCAGTCACAAAATGGCTTCGTCCACTGTAAAACTTTGAATTTCTGCTCCACACAGGTGCATATTGACCTCGTTCCTTTTGCTCTGGGTTAGACAACAACAACAAAAAATTCATATCCCTTAGTTGTTAAGTGTTTACCTCATAGGAAGGAATTCAGGATAGAGTGGATAATGAATATTTTTTCATATTGTTTATTTATTTTTACCATTAGTTACCAAGAGCTCTATTTTCGAGTTCCAGAAAAAGTAACTTTATCAAGAATGCATAAAAATTTAACATCAGACATGTTATATGCCCAAGGCATTCAGTTCTAGTATAACTTCCTAGACAAAATTTTCCAGTTTTATCTGTATACCAGAGGCTCTTTAACAACTCTGATGAGTGTTTAAATTGTCCACGTTTTTGCTGTTATGCACAGTGCTGCCTGAAACATTGGAGTGACAGTACGCCTAAGAGAACTTCATTTCCATCACTTTGAATAAAAAGCAAGAAGTGGGATTGTGGATTATGTGGTAGTTCTACTTTTATTTATTTATTTATTATTTTTTTTCTTTTTAGTTGAAAGGTCTGGGAAGAGTGCTAAATCAATTTCATTTCCTCTATTTATGTCCTCAGCTTTCTAATGCATTTTACAAAAGTTAGAATTTTGTAGGTTAACTGACTTCTCCGTGTTAAAACAGGGGTGATTATCTCTTGGATTTTTTTTTTTTTTACTTCTTAAGCAGAAGCAGAACTAGTATGTGTTTAAGTTCTTTCCTCAGTATTTTCTAAACACATGTGTTGTGTTTCCATCATGGTCTCCTTTATCATCACTTCTCCATGCTTCACACAGAAAGCATTACACTCTGTGCTGCTGTTTACAGCTCGTCGATGTTTCATATAGCCCTGTTCTCTCTGTGCTGCTAACACACCATTTGTTCTGTATCATCTAAGGGATTTTATTGATGTTTCTGTTTTTGTTTTGCACTCACACAATGGAGGAAAGTGTATATTTTGATACTTCCCCACTGTCCACCAAAAAATAGTGTTTGCAGGAATAAACATTGACTATGTAACAGTAAGAAGATCATTTTAATCATTTTCGAAAGGAATACATACGACTAAAGCTCTGTGTTATTTGGACAAAGATTTCTTAGATGTGACTCCAAAAGTACAGACATAAGTAGCAAAATAAATAATAAATAAATAGGACTGCATCAAAATAGATAGTACAGCACAGAAAATGATGGTGTGAAAAGTCATTTCATATATTTGGGAAGACCATTTTCTTTTTTTTTTTCTTTTTAAAAAATTTATTTATTTTTATTGCAAAGTCAGACATACAGACAGGAGGAGAGACAGAGAGGAAGATCTTCTGTCTGATGATTCACTCCCCAAGTGACCACAACGGTTGGTGCTGAGCCAATCTGATGCCAGGAGCCGGGAGCTCTTCTGGGTCTCCCAGGCAGGTGCAGGGTCCCAGGCTTTGGGCTGTCCTCGACTGCTTTCCCAGGCCACAGGCAGGGAGCTG